TCCCCCAGCCCATGGGCAGACACATCCAGACATAAAGGACCTCTCTCCAGAGTGCCAGAGCCATCTTGTTCACCCCTGTGAATGCCTAGTACAGGGCCTGGCACGCAGAAGGTGCTCGGCAAAGGTTTGTTGAAGCCCACAGGGCAAGCAAGGGGAGGCCCCAACCCTAAAGGCATAGGCAGGCTATGCGGGGTGACTGGAACCCATGCAGGGTGCAGCGAGACCCTGGCAATATGGACAAGCAACATGGGAGATGTACCAGGACTGGGACAGGGGACACTACATACGGGGACATGGTGGGTGGGACTGTGTGTGATAGTCGCCAAGATGACCGTGGCTTCAACAAATAGAAGCTCAGCTCTCTCACTTAGAAGTGTGGGCTAGAGAGACTTCAGAACCCACTTCCAGCAGGGCCTGAGACGACTCTCACAGCCACGAATCATAGACGCAGCCACACCTGATCCACCGAAGACCAACTGAAAATCCCCACTAAGGCCCTTGACCGAAACCCTTACCCAGGTTGTGCTACCAAACAAAGACTTGCTTTAGAAGCCAACACTGAAGAGTCTAGAACCCAGACTTGGTTTCAGAATCAAAGAGAAAAAAATAAATAAATAAATAAAAAATCAGACCCTGATGAGGACTGAGAGCCAAGCCAAGACCAAGATCATCCCGCAGAGGAGACTCAAAGCGGAGAAGACAGACGGTGTTGTGCCGGCTACACTTCCTCACACCTACACACCCCCATCGAGGCATTTACGAACACCCTTCACCCGGGCATTGATACCAGAGGGCAGCCTGCTAAAGCCGCTGGCATTGCAGAGTCAAGAGCCCAAAAAGCAACCAGTGCCAAGGAAGTAGCCGAAGAAGTAGTACTGTCCGGGTTCTACCCGAAGGTTTGGTTTCAGAACCAGAGACCCAGATTCCACGTCCAGAGAGAACGAGAACCTGGTGGCAAAGATGTAGAACAGAGACAGACTGGGAACAGGATCTCGGGGAGGAGAGAAGTCGAGCAGGCCCCACACCCAACGTGGCCACGAACCCATGACCCCAAGATCGAGAGTCACGCGCTCTACCCGCCGAGCCAGCCAGGCGCCCCTGGAGCAGGTATTTTAAAGAGTGAAATACTGTGGTCAAATAGGGATTTCTACGAGGAATGTGGTCATTTTAAATATTCTAAAATGTCACGCCTAGTTAATGAAGTTACATTCCATAAAAATTAAAAGTAAAAGAAAAAAAATAGAAGAAGCATGGGCTAAAACAGGAGTCCGCCCTCTGCAAGGTCCTGGGGTCTGGCCTCCTCTCTGGGCCATGACTTCCCCAGGGCATGGCCCCTCCCGTGACAAGTACAACCCCAAAGGTGTGACTGTGCATAGACAGTCTCCTGGCCACAGCCAGCTGGGAGGGGAACTGGGACATGCAGACGTGTGGGGAGCCCCGGCCGTCTGAGGGCAGCCAGCGGGCTCTGCAGCTCGTGCTTCCCTCCTGGCCGACGAGGCGGCAGCGGGAGAGAAGGTCCTTTAGAGGAGCTGCAGGAGGGGGACCTGCCTGGGGGGTGTCCTGCTGGGGAAGTCGGGGTGACCCTGCAGGCAGGACACAGCTGCAAGGAGAGGGCAGTGCTGCATGGTGACTGGGCCAGGAGGGGACACGAGGTGGGCAGGGGCTCAGACAGGACCCTGGGGCACAAGGGGAGCACGCAGTGGGGATGAGGGCAGCACCCTATGGAGGCAGTGGTCGCTGACAAACGTGCAGCCCTACAGATTCCGGGATGGGACAGTCTCCCCTAAAATGGGTTCGGGGTGGGAGCCAGATTGGAGGGGCCTGAGGACTGAGCAGACAGTGATGCTCCAGAAGACAGACGAGGGGGAGGCCAGAGGGGCAGGCCTAGGGGCAGACCCAGCCACCCAGCCCTGAGGACAACCAGCCCTCTGCCTGAGGGGCGGGCGGTGGCCTGGGGACACCGGGGCCCCTCCCCGTGCCTCCCAGCCCCAGCCCCGACCCAGGCCACTGAGCAAGGGCAGGCGCTCCAGGTCCAGACCTGCCTTTTCTTTCTCCAGCCCCCTCGTTCCTGCTGAGAAGGGGGGGCAGGCGCTCCAAGCAGGATCCTGTACAGAAGGTTCGACCTCTGTGATCTCACTTAACCCTGAAACAATCCATCCTCCAGGAGGGGAAACAGGCCCAGAGAGGTGGCTGCAAGGGAGCCTCTGCCGGGTGGCCGGTGCAGGACAAACGTTCCTGCTCCTCTTTTAAAGACCAGAAAGCAGAGGCTCAGAGGGGCCAGCTTCTCCCGAGGTCACCCAGCAACAGGTCACTTCTGTGCCAGGGTTGGGCCCTCCTCCTGGAAGGGCCCTGTCCTTGTGCTGTGTGGCTGCCACTCAGTGACCAGGAGAACAGAGCAGCCGGGATGGAAAGGGGGGACCCGTGGCTGCAGGAGCCCCAGGGAGGCCCAGCTGCTGCGGGGACTCAGCCCCAGAACAGGGCAGGTGGGACCTTGCCCATCCTTCTTCCCACCCCGCTGCTCCCTCCCCTGCTGCCAACGACTCCATAACCTTGGCTGCCCTGCAACTCTGGGGACCCGGCCAGCCACTGACTGCCAGTTCCTGGAAAGGCCGCAGGAGCACACCAGACAGAGGTCAGACCAGCAGCCCTGGGTCCCTCTGGAATCCCTCACATTTCCAGGAAAATTGCAAAACATTTGAAGAACAAATGGTCAATTCCTTATAATCCTTCCCCATTGTCCTGAAAAGAGGCATTTGGTTGGGGATGGGGGGGCCTCCTGGTCCCCCCTCAACCAAGCCCATCCCCAGGCAGCCCTGGAAGGGCAAGAATGGCCACAGTGGTCAGGGTGGGCTGGGGCCCTGGAGCTGGGGCGCCTCCGAAGGGGGGGCGGGGGCGGGGCTGTGAGGTTCTGGAACCCCTTAGCCGCCGATACCCAGAGCCTTCTCCAGCTCTCTGCCTGCCACCGCCCCCTCGCTGCCCCCCACACACCCCAAGTCACAGTGCAGCCGCAGCGCAGCCTCAAAGGGCAGGAGCCACAACTATCACTTCTGTTTGCCCCATGGGGTGGGGGCAGCCGTCAAGGATGGGGCCCCACCCCGGGGTCCACCGCCTGCAGAATCCCCTCCCCTTGCGTGTAGCTGGACCCTGAGACTCACTTCTAAAAAGTGACATGATGGCATTCCCACAAACAGACTGGAAGGCTGGGACTCCAGGCGCACGGACCCTGCGGGCTGGCACACTTTGACCAAGTAAGCTGCCACGTGGAGGCGCCCAGGTGGCACCCAGGCCCCAGGAACCCAGGGCGGCCTCCGCCATCTGCCTGCCACAAACCCTGCCAATGGCCACCCAGGACAGCTTGGAAGCGGGTCCTTCCCCGGCCAGATCCGGAGACCGACGCCACCCTGGAGAGCACCTCAATGGTAGCCGGGCAGACCCGGAGCAGGGCACCCAGTGAGGTGACGTCACAAACACTGTGACATCACGAATGTGCCTGTTTCAAGCCGCTACGTATGGGGGCACGTTGTTACGCAGCTTAAGTAACCGATACACGCAGTGCGGGACAAGGTAGGGTCCGAAAGGCGAGCTTCGTGATCTTCATGCTGTTCCGTGACCTCAGAATCACCGGCTACTGCCGTCCCCTGTAAACTGTCAAGCAGCCAGCGCAGCAAATAAGTCAGAGGCCGTGCTGCACCCCTACTCCTCCAGGAAGCCTCCCTCAGCCCCCAGTGGGAATTCACCGCCCCCCCCCCCGGCGGGAAGCGATCTGCGTCTCCATACCTAGTGCTTTGCCTTCTGCTGAGCTTCTAATCCTCCATCCCTGAGCCCTCCTCCAGACCCGCGCTGCTGGGGTGTAGGTCCCTGAGGATGAAGGGGGAGGAGGTGAGGCCAGAGCGGTCGGGGCCCCAGACTGGCCGGCCGCAGACACCAGACCCAGCAGCACAGCCGAGGCCAGCCTGGCCGCTGCAGGGCCCAAGGGAGCCTCAGGGTGCAGGACAAACTGGCCAGGGCAGGCGGGGGGCAGGAGAGCAGGGTGCGTTCCCTGGTGACTCACTCTGCCCCTAAAGTGCTCCCCCGGGAGGCAGTGGTGCAGCTCGAGGGGGGGGGGCAGATGGCCCAGCACTGGCCAGCTGGAGCACTGACTCTCAGATGCTTACGCACACCACATCCCCTCACAGAGCCTCAGTTTCCCCAAATAGGTAGTTCAGAGTTTCTCAAAGAGAGGTAACAAGTGATTTTAAAGAGCACCCAAAGGCAGAACATGAGAGACTCCTAACTCTGGGAAACGAACAAGGGGTGGTGGAAAGGGGGGTCGGCGGGGGGTGGGGGTGACTGGGTGACAGGCACTGAGGGGAACACTTGATGGGATGAGCACTGGGTGTTATGCTATATGTTGGCAAATTGAACTCCAATTTAAAAAAATGTAATAAATAAATAATAAATAGTATCCAAAGCTTTTATTTTTCTATGTCCATACGTATCGAGAAAAATATGTGTAACAACTAGTAGATCAAACCCTGAGTTTCATTTCCTATTGTTTAGGTCATAACCTTTTTCTTTTTTTTTTTAAGATTTTATTCATTTATCCATGAGAGACCCAGAGAGAGAGAGAGGCAGAGACACAGGCAGAGGGAGAAGCAGGCTCCACGCAGGGAGCCCGACGCGGGACTCGATCCCGGGACCCCAGGATCACACCCTGGGCCGAAGGCGCCCTAAACTAAACCAGTGAGCCACCCAGGGATCCCGGTCATAAGCTTTAAAGCTTAAAAGGCAAGTCGATTTAAATAAAAACATTCAGTAAATAATAAAACTGATGGTACAGGGATAGGACATAAATCATGTTGTGAGATCCTGCTGACTGGTGTTTCCTGACCAAGGAATAAACTTCTCTAAGAAGCTACTGTTATTTTGTGTCTTTCCATGGCAGCCAACCCCCACCCCGTAGGAGTAGCCGTGCAGCCAAGGAAAGATGTTCCAGGCAGAGAGAAGAGCAGGTGCAAAGGTCCTGGGGCAGAGACAAAATCGGTTCCTACCTCAAGGCCTCAGGGGCTTTGCACTTGCCACGTGCTGTGAGTGGAGCACCTCCGAGCATAGCAGTCTGGCTGAGCAAGACTGGGGCGCAGGGTCTGGAGCCCGCCAGCCTGGCCCGTCGCCTCCCTTTGGTGGCCCACTGACCCAGTTATTGTGAAAAACTGTGTTTGCAGAGGCAGGAGTCCCCGGGGCAGAGGCTATGTTATCTGTGTGTCCCAGCGCCCAGCCCCCACCTGGCAGAAACGAGGTCTTCATGGGTGCCGCTGAATAAAATAAAGGAGGGGCTCTGGTGACCTGTGACCTCTGCATCCACGCCCCCGGGGGGCAGGGGAGCAGCTTCGCTCAGAGGCACCAGGGGACAGGCCGGGAATAGGAAGCCAGGGTGGTGCTGGGCTCCCCACTCTTGGGGGGGTGGGCAGAGCAGGGGCTGCTGTGGGGCAGGACTGGGAGCCTGAGGGCAGTGAGGGGGGCAGAGGAAGGAGGGAGCCAGAATGAACCAAACAGACGTCCTGCCAGCCAGCAAGCCTGGGCCCCAGCTCTCCACAGGGACCCCACTGCCCCCCACCCAGGCCCCAGCTCTCCACAGGGACCCCACTGCCCCCCACCCAGGCCCCAGCTCTCCACAGGGATCCCACTGCCCCCCACCCAGGCCACAGCTCTCCACAGGGACCCCACTGCCCCCCACGCAGGTTCCAGTTCTGTACAGGGACCCCACTGCCCCCCATCCAGGCCCCAGCTCTCTACAAGGACCCCACTGCCCCCCACCCAGGCCCCAGCTCTCCACAGGGACCCCACTGCTCCCCACCCAGGCCCGAGCTCTCCGCAGGGACCCCACTGCCCCCCACCCAGGCTCCAGCTCTCGCAGGAACCCCACTGCCCCACCCAGGCCTGGCCTGTCCACACTTCCTACTGTTGACCCTAGGAAAATTACCACGCCCAGGCTTCGGGATGCCACCTGGGCCTCCCCCCACCAATGGATTCAAGCAGAACCCTGACGGGGGCGGGGGGTTGGGCATGAGGCCAGGCCGGTCTCCTGGGGTTCCCAGCACCGGGGCCACAGCCTGGACCGCAGCCCGTGCAGGCACTAGGGGCTTCCCTGGAGAAATGGGGAAGGGGATGAAGGAACCTCAGGAGATGTGCTGGGTTGGGGGAAGCCCCTGGCTCGTGGAGGCCCCCGGGGCCAGAGGGTAGGCCCCAGCAGAACTCGCCCCCCCACACACAGTCCCTTCCACCTGCACACACACCTGTCCCTGCTCGACTCACGTCTGAGGCCCTGTCGGACAGAGCGGGGGGGGGGGGGGGGGGGGGGACAGCCCCGCCACAGATCCAGCCCTGGACCCCAGCCCTCGGGGCAGGCGCCCACCCTCACCCAATCAGAGGGGGGGGAGGTTGGGCCGGTGAGGCCGGGGGGCGTGGCCAGCTGGGCCTGCACTAATTGTGAGTTTTTAGCTCAGGGAAGCCTGCGGGGCACCTCTCCATTCCTCTGCTCCGTGGCAGAGCCTTCCTGGCTTCCTGGGGAGCACAGCCCGACTCCTCCCCTGGCAGCCCTAATCCATCACCCCCAGCGCCCCCTCCCCGACCCCTGCCCTTCACCACCTCACACCCCTCCCACAACTCCATTCTGTTTCCTCATCTGGGCCCCTGTTGCATGCCAGGCGCTGGAAGGGGGCTGGGTTTCCAGCCATGAAGGGGATGCACCCCCACACTCCGCGGGCGGACATCTGTAACAGCCATCTGACCCCATCAGCATTTGAGGGATGTTTCTCAAACCCACGTGTGACCATGGCCTTCCTCTGTTTAACACCGTCAGTCTCCCCATCACCTTCCGGAAAAGGCCAGAGCCTGTGGTTGGGAGAATAAAGGCCACCCCAAGATGGCCCGGTCCTCACCCTGGGACCTGTGCACCTGTCATCTTTCCTGAAGACCCAGAGGGATTTTGCAGAGGTGCTCAAAGGAGGAGAAGGGGAGACGACCCTAGGCTACCTGGGTGGGCCCAGGGTCATCAGGAGGGGCCTTTAAATGTAGAAGGAGGCAGGAGGCCTCTGAAAGCTAGAAACAGATTCTCCCCTGAAGCTTCCAGAGGGAACACAGCCCTGTCCACCCATTTGGACTTCTGACCTCCAGAGCTGCCAGGTAATAAAATGTGTGTTGCTTTAAGCCACTACACGGGTGGCGATTTGCTGTTAGAGGTGCAAGGAAGCCAGCACAGTTCCAGCCCTTCCCTGGGCCCCGTGGCCTGCCTGCCCTCCAGCCTTGGAGGATCCTCTCCCTCCCCCGCGGCCCGAGCTCCCCCGCTCCCCTGGCCTTCGCTCATGCTACCCCTTCTCCCTGAAGTAAGCATGGCCAGCGACTCTTCCCCAACCCTGACCTCATCTCAGTGTCCCTTCCTCAATGGAGCCTTCTAGATCTTTGGGATTCTCTACTTCAAACAAATGAGGAATTGGTGGGAAGGTAGAGTCACCTGTGGCCTCCTTGAAAGGGACAGGACTCGGGTTTCTAAGGGCCCCGAGCCTCAAGAATGAAAGGACAGTTCTGGAGGGGCCCACCGGCGGCTTGGCAGTGACTCGCCCCTGCCCTTGGGTCCTACCCCTCAAGATCCAGGTTCTGGCTTATTGTGGGCTACAAACCCACCCGGGGTCATAATGAGGTGGGACACCTTAGCTGATGATCCTGCCCCAACCTGAGGCCCACAGAAAAGGCTGGAATTTCAGAAATGTAGAATTAACAGGTGTCCCCTGCCCTTCTGGTCCACTGCCCCTCGCCCCCCAGGGCTGAGTCACCCCTATCTGGGTACATCTCACCCTGGCAGCCCCATGGTCCCCCACCATGAGCCCTGTAAGGACAGGCGATTGAGTCAGACCCCGTATTGGGCGGTGTGCCCTGCACCTTCCCGAGCAGGCCCGCTGGGGAAGAAACCAGATGTGGGCACAGAAGGAGGGACACCGGGACTCACCGCATGGGGACAGAGGCTGAGGGCTCTCCGGCAGGGAATCTGCCTCCTCACGGGAGGACACAGCCCTGCAGGGAGGAAGGAGGAGCCTGGAGACCTGTGCTCCCTGAGTGTCGGCACCCCACACCCCCAAGCAGCCTTCAGACCGGTCCCTCCCCTCCCCGGGTCTCAGTTCACCTCTAAAAAGGGTGGCTTGGAGCCCCTCACACCTGCTGAGACGGCTATTGTAAAATAAAATAAAATTCAAAAAACAAAACAAAACAAAAAACAAAAAAAAAAAAAAAAAGCAAGTGTTGGTGAGGATGTGGAGAAAGAGGAACCCCCGGGCCCTGCTGGCGTGACCTCCGAGGTAGAGAGCAGCGCGGAGATTCCTTCAACATTAAGCACAGAATTACCACGTGACCAGCAGTTCCACTTCTGGGTGTGACACCTAGAAGCCCTGGAGGCAGGGACTCGATGAGACGTTTGCACACTTGTGCTCATGGCAGCCCTATGCATGGTAGTCAAAAGGTGGGAGCACCCCAAGTGCCCGCCGACGGGGTAGTAGGTAAACCGTGGTCCGTCTACGCAACGGAGGACCGTTGAGCCATAAGGGGAAGGAGACTCTGACACCTGCTGCAACGTGCATGAACCTCGGGGACGTTATGCTGAGTGACCTCCGCCAGCCACGGAAGGACAAATACCGTAGAGTCCACTTCCCTGAGGTACCCAGGGTCTTCAAATTCAAGGGCACAGTAAGCGGAAGGGTGAGGGGGCACCAGGGCCTGGGGAGGGGGCTGGGGGTCGGCGTTTAAGGGGGACAGGGTTTCAGGCTGCGGAGATGCGAAAGTCCTGGGGACGGACGGTGGCGGCGGCTGCACGACTGAGTGTGCCTCACGCCAATGAACCGCACACGTAGAAACGGCGAAGATGGGGACTCTTGGAAGTGTCTCACCACAATTAAAAACGCTGGAAAGGGGGTGACTGCGAAGGGCACCGTGTGCTCCCAAACTGTATGACGCTGAAGCCAGAAGGGACACCTGGTTCCTAAAGCTTGGAGAGCAGTGCTGCCCAGTTTGGGGTGGGGAGGGGGCCCCCAGAGCCACTTTCTCAGCATCCCCTCACTCAGCACCACCCTGGGGGTGACCCCAGAGCTTGAAGCCCCAGCTCAGCAACCCCCCCCCGGCCCCAGGCTGGTGGGGCTTGGAGCCCCAGGCTCCAGAGTGGGGACCGGGCTGGGCCACGTTGCAGGGGCCCTTTATTCTCACCTGGAGGTTCCTGGGGGACAAGGGCTGGCCTGCGGGGGCACTGGGCTGCCCCAGCCCGGTGGGCAGAGGGCTCTGGGGGGCCGGCCTCCTGCAAAGGGTCAAGTCAGGACCGCTCCCGGGGGTGCACGGGGGGCTAGAAGGATGCGTGGGCAACCTTTGGGCACCTGCAGTTGTGCGAGATTAAGAACAGCTTCCTGGAAGGAAATTCTCCTTTCTCCTCTGCAGGTATTTCCAAAGGTTCCCAGACCAATTCAAGAGCTGGAAAAGTCCAGGGGGAAAGCGGGCGTTGCTAGAAGCTGAGTGTTGGGGCGGTGGGGGGCAGGGGGGCTCATGGAACCCACCAGCCACCCTGCCCTAGGGAAAGGCAGGGCGGCGGAGGGGCATGAGAGCAGGGGTGGGGCGGGGGGCAGGCAGGAAGAGGGGTGACCTTCAGCTCTCACTGAGGCCGACTGAGCCCCAGAGGGAACCAGCTCCCGTGAGCACTTTCAAAACCAAGCCCTTTAAGTATGTCCTCTCACCCGAGCCTCCTGGGGGTGGACTGTCACCCACATGTCCCGGGAGAGACAGGGGAGCCACCGCCCCATTAGGTCACCCGCCCGGGGAGCCATGACTACAATGCGGCAGGGCCGGCGCTCAAATCCGTGGACATGGCCCTTCCATCACCCCAGAGCCCCGTGGGCCCCGACACACCGTCCCCACCCCCTCGGCTGTGGCTACTGACCTCTGGCTAGTCATCAGTCGTCCTGCAAACAGTTGGCCAACTCCGCTCTCTGGATCCATACTGATTAGGGTACATTTTGGCAGCTTTAACAAATGCCCCCGAAACACTGGATAACACAAGACAGCAGGGTTCGCCCCTTGCTTTGGGACGTGGTCTGTGCGTCGGCAGTCTTGCTGCTGTGCTGGTGACCCAGGTTCTTTCCACCTTGCTGCTCTGTGATCCTCAACACCCACCCTGCACCCCATAGTCAATGTGGCTGCTCCAGCTCCTGCCATCACCACTGACATCCAGCAGTAGGTACACGGAGAAGGAAAAAGGGAAGCCACCGCTCTTTTCTCTGGGGACAGGACCCAGCAGTTACATGGGTCACTTCTTACATGTCACTGGCAAGGATCTGGCCAGATAGCTACACGCAGCTGCAAGGGGCTGAGAACTTGAATGGGCGGCCGTGTGCCCCGCTGGAATTCAGAGTTCTTTTACTTTAGGAAAAGAGGAGAATGGATAATGGGGGGGGGGGGGGACTCGCGATCTCTGCCACTGGAACATAATCTCTCCTCCCTCCCAGGACCATGGTGAAGCAAGGTCATGGGTAAGAGGCAACAGCAGGCTTCAGGGGGAGGGGCTGGAGATCTGAGGAGGAATCCAAGGTGGCTGCCTGGGGGAGGCAACATTTGGGCCACGCCTTGAAAAACAAGGAGGGATTGGGATGGAAGGGAGTTCCAGAAGGAGAAGGTGGTGGAACTAGTGGATGGAGCACGTTCGGAGAAATTGTGGTTGGGTGTGACAAGCACGCACTTGGAGGCAGGAGTCCTGGGTTCAAGCTCAGACACTGAGTCCGCCTAGTGAGGCGCCCGGGCTCCCTGAGCTTCGGCTGGCTCCGCATGGAAAGGCTGATGCCTCCCTCACACCTCATCGCGGGCCCAGGAGGAGGCACGTGCGGGGACATGCCCGGGCCTTGGGGGGTCACTGCTGTGATGTTTCGTGGTGGGGCGTGGGGTTGCCGGTGGGCAGGGGCGGGAGACGAGCTGCGAAGGGAAGTGGGGGCCCGCCCAGAGGCCAGCTGCATGGCCGGACAGCAGGCTGAGCGGAGAGCGGCTTGACCAACGTGACCCTGGAAGATGGAGAGGAGGGGGTGAGGTCAGAGAGGCCGGGGTGGGGGGGAGCTACAGGGTCCCTGGAGAGACAACATGGTGAGCAGCAGCAGAGTGGGAAGCCGTGGGATCCGACCGGGCACCTAGGAAGGCCTCCCGGAGGAGGCAGCCCCGAAGTCGAGCCCGCCGCAAGGGGCAGCAACGAGGGCTTGCCCCCAGAGGACCAGCAGGGGAAGGAGGGGTGATGCACGGGGCAGACAGGCCCTGCCTCCACCTGGAGATGCCCCCACCCCTCAGAGCACTGCCCCCCAGAGGGGCACTGTGCCTGGCGCCCCACCCACATCCCTGCTGACCCCCCGCCCTGCAGCAGCCTCCAAGGTGCAGATCCTTGCTCCCGGGTTACAGGGCGGAAACTAGAGCCCAGAGAAGGCTCCACGCAGCCAGGACTCAGGCCCCAGAGTCAGACCCAGAGTACCCAGCACCATGGGTCCTTCTGGGGCTCTGAGACGTCCTGCGGAAGTCCATCATCACCCCGGACTCAGGAAGGTTCTCATCCCGAAAAAGGGACGAAGACCGAGAATCGCTTTATCCACATCACGTCCTCAAGACCTCCCTTATGGAGCAGCAAGTCACCCCATTGAACAGAAAGACAAACTGAGGCCAGAGAGGTGAAGTCCTGTGCCAGGGTCACGCAGCCAGTGGGCGACCAGCAGGATTTGCACCCAGGTCCCTGACGCCCCCGCTCCCACGCTCCTCCTCCCGAGACCTCTCTCCCCTCCCCCTCCCCCTCCCCCGCTGCTTTCCTGGCTCTCTCTCAGGGAAGAGAACATGCTCTGAGTCTCTGTTTCCCTGGGAGAAATCCATTTTCAGAATCTGGAGGTGTTGAAATGTGTTCTTTTTTCCTCTCTAAAGAGCCCTTGGTGAGGACAGAGGTGCCCCGAGAATCCCTCTGAGGCCACCGCCAGCCAGGCTAGGGCCTGGGGCTGCCCATCCCGGAGGGCAAAGCCCCAGCGGCAAGGTCCCCAACAGGGTGACCCTGTCCATCCTGGCACAACGGGTGGCCGGGCAGCTCCAAGAGCTCGGGACGTGCCTGTGACCTCCAGCCCTCGACCCCAGAAGACCCCCACCTGCCCTCCCGCCCGGCTGCTGGGCAGGGGCACTCCTGTGTCCCCGGAGCAAGGTGGGTACCGAGCCCCCCTGCCCAGCGGAGGTGTCCGGGGCCATTCCAGGCTGTCTCCACCAGACTCTCCCTCTCTCGGTGACAGCTGGACCCACCACGGTCACAGAATTCTCATGCTGTAAAGGGCACAGGCATTGCTGGGAGCATCTGCTAACCCACACAGCCAGCCCTGGGGAGCAAGGATGCGGGCACAGGGGGTCACTTGTGGAGGGAGGGAGGGAGGGAGGGAGAGAGCGGGTGTGAAGGAGCTACAGAGGGGAGGTAGAGAGGAGGAGGAAGGAGGGGAGGAAGGGAGGGAGGAGGGAAGGAAGGGGGATGGAGGGAGGAGGGACAGGACAGGTGTGAAGGGGATGAGGAGGAGGGGGGAAGGAGGTAGGGAGAGGGAGGATAGAGGGGAGGGGAGAGGAGGAGGGGGGAGGGAAGAAGGAAGCTGGAGACTTGGCTTCCCCACAGGTGCACATGCTTTGCCCGGACACACTCCCGCTGCGCCTGCCCAAACCCTGCCCAGCCCGCCCCTTTCAAAACCTGTCCTAGTCCCGGGCCTGGCATCTCCCGCTCCATCCTGGCACTGCCCACTCCACGGGCATCATGGACCATGGCTTCCTTTGGCGGGATGGGGCTCACCCGGGCTTCAGTCCTTCCCCTGGGGTCTGCAGAGAGGCCCACCTGCTGACCACCCACACCCAGTGGGGACCCATGGCAGGCCTGGGGTCCTGGGGAGCAGTTCCTAGAGTTCCTAGAGCCTATGCCCCAGAATCGTGGACTCATTGACTCCTGGGCTGAAGCCTGGAAGGGCCCAGCAAGGCCAAGCTACCCATGGCCCACCCCCAGGCCCCCACTGCACCCCAAGAGCAGTTCCCCAGGATCCAAAACAGGCTCCTATTCCAGAAAAAGCACCTTGTCCAGGAAGTACGCCCCCCCCCAGCCCCCTGGCAGGGAAGGGAGGCAAGGCGATGGGCCCTGGCTCAGAGGGACTCCCATCCCTACCTGGCCAAGTTCTTCCCAAGGACTCGCCCAGCAGCCCAGGTGAATGGTCAGGTCACCAGAGTCACAGAAGGAGATCACACACCCACCACCCCCACTAAAGGAAGCCTGTAGAAGCTTCTGGAAAGAGGCAAATGTTAGAGGCAGAGACTTTGCCTGTCTCCCAGACTCTCCTGTCTCTCTTTCTTTGTCCCCAAGACCCCCTGACCCCAAGCCCTGGACTGGAAGTTCCTCCACAACTCACTAAGCCCATCCCCATCAATCACATAGGTGAGGACAGAAGCCCGGGAGGGCAGGGTGTTCCCCGAGGGACTTGCCAAGCGCACCGCACCGGTCAGCCCACAGTGACCTTTGGACCTCAGGTGATGTACCCCCCTCCCTGTCCCTGGAGCCCACGGGCCTCTAGCTCTGGGCTGCGAGCGGGGAGGGACAAAGGAGAACCTGAGACCCTCCAGGAACACGTGGTCCCTCAAGACCGGGCTTCTGAGTCAGATGGGCCTGACTCTGGTCCTGCATGGGGGGGCGTGGACCCCAGGGGTTGGCTGGGGTGCAACCGCCTGCAGCCCCAGGTCCCAGTCCTGCTCCATCCCCAGGCTTTGCAGTCGCTCACCCAGGACTTCCCAGAGCCAAGGAGATGTGAGCAGGGACTGCACACAAGCTCGTGTGCAGGGCGCTGCTTCCCTTCTGTGCCCCTGCCACCCCCACAGGCTGGGCAAGCCTGCCCGAGGATGAAACTCGCGGGGTGGAGCCGGGCCGCTGCCAGCCCAGCCGGGCCATCCTGGATCAGCCAACACCAGCCGACAACCGGGCGGCCAGGCAGCCCGGCAAGGCCAGTGGGCTGCCCACCCCAGTCCGCCGCGTCCCATGGCAGGTGAGAAACAAGCACATGTTGTCACGAGGCTACCCGCTACCCTGCGTTCCTCTGGCAACGGATGGCCGACAGAGCCCTACGTCACCAGGCGAGGCCACCTGCTCTGACACACATCGCTATGCCCCCTGGAGCAACGAGCTTCAGAGAGGCCACGCTGGAGTGGGTGCAGATCCAGAAGCTCTCCTGGGACCCGCCCCCACGGGCGAGTCGGTGGGTCCCAGCCTGCCCTCCCTCAGGGAGCCCGTGGTCGGTGAGGGAGACACAGGTAACCAGAGGACTCCGATCCGGGTCTTTTAGAAGGTAGGGAGGAGGGGACAGGCGTGCAGGCCCTGCAAGATGAAGCCAGTCTCTGCACCTGGAGGAGGAGGAAACAAGAGGGCCTTCCTGGAGGTGGCCACAGGGTCACCACCCCCACCCCCACCCAGTGGCACCCTGACCCCGGCAGTGCTGGGGAGCTTCCCCCTTGCTAGAACCAGACTGCTGCTGCCACCAACCACCAGATCTACCAGACGCAGCGAAGGAAGGGCACAGCCGGCTGCTGCTTCTCGAGCCCTGCGGGTCGCCTGAGAGCCAGCGAAACCCCCTGACCGAGAAGCACCAGAGACCCAAGCCGACAGCCGGGGCGGGGGAGCAGCGCCCTGGCAGCAGCTGTTGAGCACCTGGACACAGCTGTGCCTGAAGGCGTGGCTGCTCCTGGACTCTTGTCAGTGTCTAGAGCCAGTGAATTCCTTCTTAGCTCAAGTGAGTTGGAACTGATTCGGCCCCGTGCAAACCTAAAGGGCCCTATGGAAACACAGTTACTGGGGACAGGGAGGTGTGTCCCGGGCCCAAATGGCTTCACAGAGAGGGGCTTCTGTGAGGAGGAAACCCCCAACTTAATGACCTGGCTGTGTCCAGGCCTCGTTCGTTCCAGCAGGACCCCTCGTGTGGAAGGAGGAGACCAAGCTGGTGGCCACCTCGACACAAGCTCCTGAAGTGCCCCGGGGAGCGACTGTAACACCAGCGCCCAGGGCCTGGCCGTGGTGGGGCTCGGGGCTGGCTGCACAGCGTCCCCATGCACTGGGCTGTGTACGCACCCCCAAAACCTTTCTCATGATCACTCTTCGGCGAGCCAGGGCTGAAAGGTCTGCCCATGTCACAGATCACCGAGACGGAGGCGCAGAGAGTTGGGGCGACTTGCCCGAGATCTCACAGCTCGGCTGTGGCAGAGGGGCTGTGCACAGAGCGGGGGGACATAGCCTTTCCTGCCTTGTGTGTCCTTCACCGGCTCCAGAAGGTCCTATGGATGATGAGGAGCCGTGGGTGCCCGCGTGTGGAGGGAGGCCCAGAGCGCCCCTCCCTGAGCGAGCCCTCCCCTCCCAGGGCCTCGGCCTGGCTGGGGGGCTCCTGGACGACTCACCCTGTGTGCCCAGGGCCGCCATGGGAGCCTGGCACGGGCCAGGGCTTCAGGGTGGGGGTCCCAAAGGAACAGAGGGTTCAGGAGGCCGCTCTCAGCCTAAAACAGCCCGGGGCTGCGGCGAGGCGTCACCGGTGGGCACACCGTCCATGGCATCACTGGAGCTCTGGCAACGCCCCCCAGGGCCCCCTTCGTCTTCCAGCTCTCGAGCCACGGCCTCCTCCCCTGTGACTGACACACACCCCTGCGGGAGGGGGTCCTCGGGATGATCCCCAGGACTCGGAGACTAAGGCTAGTCCACCTCGGGCCTGGCACAGCCAGATGCCCATTTTTAACCCCTGGACATTAGGAATCACAACCACTCAGGTTCGAGGCCTGCGTGAGATCTGCGACGGGTCCAAGGCCTGGGTGGCGGACGTTGAGGCGGGAAGCAGAACCCTCCTCTTACCTTCACCTTCTCTTCTCACGGGTGGGAACCTGGTACTCCGTGGCTTCCCACAAGAGGCTTGAAATGCACCGTGGATCGAGGCTGAGAACAAATAAGCGGACACACACACTCACGCGTGCTCACACACCTGACATTGCCCTGCACACATGACACATTCATGACATCAGGTTCACCTCTCAGCTGAGAAAACTGGGGCTCAGAGAAGCTAAGGGACTTGGGGTGTCTCTCTGCTGGTTGGTTGTACCCCACCTGTTTCCAGGGAGGGTAAGAAATGGACCCAGCAGATGGACTCAAAGGTGGCCCTGTACAGTGAGGGTTCAGAGGAGGGGTGGCCTGTCACGCAAGTGGCCCAGCACCCCGTGGGCCCCAGGAGGTCCCCAGGCACCCATACAGGACCTCTGGCTGGTGCCGGCTCCCCTTCTGGAGGGGCCTGGCCGCACACCAGGGAGCACTGTGGATGCTCCGTTGCATCTGCACTCGTGGCGGGCACACTAGTGCCCAGGGTTTGAGGGTCGGGAGCACCAAAATGTGAGGGTCCAGGGCCGTGGCAGGAGCAGGGCTGACGAAAGAAAAGCTAGGACCAAGTAACAAGGCCACAAGGCCAGAGATGCCTTCCATCCTCCAGTGGGGGTCTCACCAGCCCTAAAGCAGCATGCAGGGGCAGGGCAGGTCCTATAAAACCTCCTAGAACCTTCTGGCCTTCTGGAAGGACAGCACAGGGAAAGCATTGGAAAGTAGGCACCCTTGCGGTGCTGATGAGGCCCGAGGGAGGGACGGAACATGCCCCCGTCATACCGTAGGTGGCCTGGCCATCACCTCCTGGGCTTTCCCCTTGGCCGGGAGCTCCGGGCCTCTAGCCCTGGAATGCCACCCGAACCCCGGCTCCATCCAGGCCCTGGGGCTCTGACAAACTCTCATGGCCTGGCTCCCAACCTGCCCACCCCCCGGGAAAGCCCACCAACTCCCCATTCCTACCTCGAGCTCCCCGGAGGGTGCCAGCCGGGGCCTGCCATGTGAGGAGGCGCGGAGACCTGCTGTCGTAAGGACTCCCCCAAGACCAGACCAGTGAGCCCTCGGCCACTTCTCCCCCGCAGGGAGTCCACCCGGCAGGCCCGGCCACGCTGGAGTCCGGAGAGGTGGGAGAAGTTTGAGAAGTCACTCTTGAAGCACATGACATGGGTGAGCCCAGTGATGGGAGGCCCAGGTACCCGTGGGAGGCCTGCTCATCCCAGCAAGGGAAACGGATTGGCCCAGTGGCCGGGGGATGGAGGACGCCTTAGACCCCACGCCCACGGGGACTTCCCAGGGAATGTGCTCTCTGCTGCAGGTCCCGTAAGGCCGCACTGGGCGCTGACTGCCCACATGCCCTACCTTGCTCACTGCTGCCAGTAGGCAAAAGGGCAGAACGAAATACCTTGAAATTCTCCAGAAACAAGTTTCCAGTAAGTCCACACCACACCACTCACTCGTTTCACAAAGGTTTATTGGCTTCTCCTGGGTGCCGGGAACAGGTGGCTGCAAAGGATCCCAGTCGAGCCAACGTGGGGGCAGCAGGATGGGGGTGAAGCACAGCCCCCCTGAGCCCTGCAAGGGAGGAAGGCCCAGGGTGGAGGACACACGGGGGCAGGGAGGACGGGGAAAGTCCTAGCTCCCTCGGGGGTGAGGCAGGCTGAGCCCCGGGAAGAGGTGAAGGGGTGGAGAAGGAGGAGGAAGGGAGCGTGAGTGGAGGCTCAGAGGCTGGCAGCGCGTGGGCTTGCCTGGAGGCCCATGGAAGGGGAAACAGAGGGTCAGTGACCAAGGAGGCTGAGACCCTGCTCAGTCAGAACACGGCCCTGGCTCTCCGACACCTCTGGCCAGGTGTGCAGGCTGGCCCACCTCCTCCCGGGGCTCAGGAGGCGCTCCTGCAGGTGGCCCAGCCTGCCCCGTGGAAGTCTCAGCACCCATCTCCCTGGTCACTGGCAGTTGCTCACCAGGAGGAAAGCAGAGGCTGTGCCCACCCACTCACTGAGCCTCACACAAGGCACTGGGGTGGGGGGTGGTCAGAGCCTGGGCAACCCCCCTCCCCAGCCCTCCCTTGCCCCCTGGGAGACAGCCCCGTGAGAATGGCCTGGGAAGCAAGAAAGCCACCCAACCCTCCTTGGCAGAGCCAAGCTCTCATCGCCTGTCCCCTCCCCCCACCCCCTTTCAAGTGGCTCCTGGACACCAGATGGACCCAGTTCAACTTGTCCTTCCTTTTCTTTCCCCCGCCCGCCCCCTGCTGGAGCCCTGAGAGGGCAGGCAGGAAGGGGGGCAGGCCGAGCCAGACCCCGAGGCTTGGGGGAACGGCCCCAGTTCCAACTCTGGTGACCCCAGCGCACAGCCTGCCAGGCCCACTGGGGCCAGACCTCGGAGCCTTGCACGGAGACTCTCACTGCTGACCCCCGGGACACGTCGGGACAAGATGAGCAGATGGTAGGCAGGGCCAGGGCCAGGGTGAGCTGATGCTGTGCCCTGGGGAGAAGGAAGGAAGGTGGAGCAGGAGCTCTCGGGGAGGCGAAGAGGATTCAGCAGAAGGAGAAGAGGGGGATGGAGTAAAAGTTGCCAAGCCTGGGCCTGGCTTCCAAAGCCCTGGACCTTGGGTCTGTCCTCACCTGCACAGGGGGCTGTGGGAGCCAGATGGGCCTGAGCACCCTGTCCAGTGTTCTGGAACCCTCAGGTATGGAGTGTAGCCTGTCCGCCCAGGAATCAAGCAGAGTCCCCAGAGCAGTGACAGTCCTAGGAATAAGTGCCCATTCTCCTGAGCCTCCCTGGGGTTGGAGGGAGTGCAGGGTCAGGGGGGCTGGGAGCGCCAGCTGGCAGAGGGGGCCAGAAGGACCAGTCTTATACATACCCCCGACCACTTCTTCTGCACATCCACCAGCACCACCACCGGGTTCCAAGCAGCAGAAAAGGCTCTCCCAGCCCCAAAGTGGCTTTTTCACTTTCTGAAACTGAATATGGGAAGGGGGAGGGCTGCCTTCCCATAATATGGATAGGATGGCCCTGTCCCAGCCTCTGTGCAGATGGGGGCAGGGCCCAGGGCCTAGACCAGCAGCCTCCAGAAACCAAGGAATCACGGCTTGAAAGTTTCTCCTACAAAAGTTGGCATTCCCCTTGTCCCTGCCCCGGAGGGGCAACCCACACCCCCAAAACTCCTCTTAGAGACTTGCCAAGCAGGAGGCTTCTCTTCCTACACCCCCCCCTCCAAAGTGTGGAGTAGGCAAAGAAAAGAAACAATGTGCTAACTCAGAGATGCCCTGGGGAAGAGGGGGCAGCAAATGGGACTCGCCCCCCCACACACACACCCAGCCAGGTTTGGCTTGGGAGGAATTCTCTAACCCACCTGAAGGACCCCTACCCCGGGAGGGGGAGAGGAGCCGCCACCAGGCTGGCTCTCCTCCAGGCGGGGAGGTCCTGGGCTGCGCAGCTCCAACATCCCTGCTCCAGACAGCAGAGAAATCGCCAGGCTGAGAGAGAGTGGGGGGGGGGCTGCATTCAAGTGCCCCCCACCTTCCACTCTGGGTCTTGACCTGCCGGAGCTACAGGTCCAGCGGCAGCTTCTGGGGCACAGGGTCCCGCCAGGGCCTTGAGAACTGGAGCGGAGGACCTCGGCCCAAGGCGGGGCGCCTACCCCCCGCGCCCACCGGGTCCCGCTGGGTCCTGGGGGTCCGGGGGGGCTGCCTGCCGTGCAGCTGACCCCTCCGGACCTCCCTCCCCGCCGCCGCGGCCGCGGCCACCGCCACCGCCGCCGCCGGGAGCGATTCGCCCTCGCCCTACGCAGCCCCGCGGGCTCCCACCTCGGCCCAGGGCGCGAGCGCGGTCTCCGTCCCGGGAAGAAGTTCGGCGGCCGGTGCCCGGGGCGCACGGGGCGCGGGCGGCGGCAGCCCCGGGACCCCGCCGCGGGCGCCCGGGAGAGGTCCCCGTTACTGCGAGGGCGTACCGGGAGGCTCGAGGCCCCTGACCGCGCGCACGTCGCCTGCCCCCGCGCCCAGGCCTCGCCCCGCCGCGCGAGGGGGGCCCAGGCGCAGCGGAGCCCGCGCCCGGCGCCGGGGACCCCAGGGCAGGGCAGGTCCCCGCCTCGCCGGCCCCGCGCACGCGTCTCCGGCCCCGCGCCCGGGCGCAGCGAGGCATCAGATGGTCCCTGCCTCGGCGGCGGCGCCGACCAGGGCCCCACGGAGTTGGGGAGTTGCCCCGCACCCCTAAAAGCCGGCACACACGCTCTCGGTTGAAAGTACGCACTTTCCGCGTCCCGGCGCCTCCGCGGTGAGTCGCGCCGCCGCGCCCGGGGTCGGCGAAGGTGGCTCAGCTCGGGCGCTCCAGTCTCGACGTTCCCGGGGCGGAGAGCAACGTCCGGGGACGCACGGGACGGGTGCGCCCGGCGGCCGGGGCTGCGCCGGGCGAGGAGAGCGGCGGGAGGGGAGCGCTTCGGCGTTCAGGCAACAGCTACCCCTAGTGGGAGAGCCGCCGGGGCCGGGGCCGCCGCCGCCCCGCGCCCGCTGCCCCGCGCCCCGCGCCCGCCGCCCCGCGCCCCAAGCGCTCGCGGGCGGCCCGGGGCGCAGGCCCGGCGCGGCTTGCCCCGGCGCTCCCCGGCGCTCCCCGGCCCGCGGGCCCTGCCCTCCGCGCCTCCCCGCCCCGCCGCGCCCCGGAGGCCGCTGACCCGAGGACAGCCGCGCCGAGCCGGGACGCGATGGGACGGGGCGGGCGCGGCCGGGACCGGGACGGCGCGCGGCGGGCCCGGGCAGCGGCGGGGGGCGCGGGGCGCGGTGCGCGTGGCGGGGCGCTGCGGGGGGCGGCCGTGTGCGAGGCGCGAGTGTGAGCGCGCGCGGGAGGCGGGCGGGCTCCGGGAGGCGAGCGGCGCCCGCGGGCGAACGGGGGAGGCGGCGGGGGCCCAAAGTTGCCTCCTGGCGGGCCCGCGGGCCCGGCGGGGCGGGGGTCGGGGCGGGCGAGGCGGAGGCGGCGGCCGCGGCCCCGGGCTCCCGCGGCACCTGGGCAGCGGCCCCGCACGAGCAGCAGCGGCGGGGGCGGCGTTGGCGGCGGCGCGCGGGAAGCGAACCGGAGCTCCGGCGCGGCGCGGCGGCCGCCGGGGAGCTCGGCTCAGGTGCGCGGCGAGGGGGGCGCGGGCCGGCGGCGGGCGGCCAGGAGCGAGGCCGCGCGCTGCGCTCGCGCGGGCGGGAGCCGCGGGATCTCCCCGGCGGACGCCCGGGCGCCCGGTGCGGCTCTCCGTCCCGGGCGGCAGCGGCAGCGGCAGCGGCGCCCCGCGCCCCGCGCCCCCCGCCCCCGAGCGCGGACTCCGCGGCCCGGCCCCGGCCCGGGCCCCGCCCCCGCCCCCGCCCCCGCCGGCCCCCGGCCCGGCCGCCCCGCCCCCGGCCCCCGATTTCTAAGGCATTGGCCGCGCCGCCGGGCGATCCCTCCGGGCTCAAGTTGCAAGGGGGCGGGCCCGGGCCGGAGGTGGAGTCTCCCGCCAATTGAAGCCTCGGGTATAAAGCGAGCTCCCCGCACGGCCGAAGCGCAGATGCCTCGCCAGGCCGCCCCGCGGTTGGCGGTGGGGGACGGCAGAGGGCCCCCGGGGGCTCCGGGGGCTGCAGCCACCATGCTCCGCTCCCTGCTGCTTCACTCCCTGCGGCTCTGCGCCCAGACGGCCTCGTGCCTCGTGCTCTTCCCGCGCTTCCTCGGCACGGCCTTCATGCTCTGGCTTCTCGACTTCCTGTGCATCCGCAAGCATTTCCTGGGCCGCCGCCGCCGCGGCCAGCCCGAACCGGCCGTGGAGCTCGACAGCGACGGCGAGGAGCTGCCCCCCGACGACCCGCCCGTCTGCGTGTCTGACGACAACCGCCTGTGCACCCTGGCGTCGCTGAAGGCCGTGTGGCACGGCCAGAAGTTGGATTTCTTCAAGCAGGCGCACGAGGGCGGGCCAGCACCCAACTCCGAGGTGGTCCTGCCCAACGGCTTCCAGAACCAGCACATCCTTGACTACGCGAGAGGAACCCGCCCGCTGGTTCTCAATTTCGGCAGCTGCACCTGACCACCGTTCATGGCGCGCATGAGCGCCTTCCACCGCCTGGTCACCAAGTACCAGCGCGACGTCGACTTCCTCATCATCTACATCGAGGAGGCGCACCCCTCGGACGGCTGGGTCACCACAGATTCCCCCTACAGTATCCCGCAGCACCGAAGCCTGGAGGACCGGGTCAGCGCGGCTCAGGTACTGCAGCAAGGCGCGCCCAGCTGCTCTCTCGTCCTCGACACCATGGCCAACTCCAGCAGCTCGGCCTACGGGGCCTACTTCGAGCGCCTCTATGTAATCCAGAACGGCACCGTCATGTACCAGGGCGGCCGCGGCCCCGACGGCTACCAGGTGTCTGAGCTGCGCACCTGGCTGGAGCGCTATGATGAGCAGCTGCACGGCGCTCAGCCGCGGCGAGTGTAAACAATCATTGGACAGTTGACCGAACTTGGCGGGCGATGCCTTCGAGCCTTCGAAGCCCACGTGCAAATGCCCCAAACGAGGCAGATTTGCCGAGGGCCCAGTGACACAGCTGTGCTGAGCCAGGGATGGCTGGCTGAGTCTGCGCCCCCGGCCAAGCTACCTGAAAATTCCCCGGACTCTGTGGCTGTGACTGCCCCTCACCTGTACCTGCCTGGAGGGCTGGAAATCCCCTTCTGAACGCGAGGCCACCCTCGCCTGGGTCCTCCCCCGCCCCCACACTTGTCCCGCAGAGGCCCCTGCCTCTCTCACGCCCCCTCCCCCAGAGAGAAGAGCCAGCGTGCCTTCAGCCAGGCGCAGAAGGGCCCCTCGCCTAGAGACAGGCCATGCGCACCCTGAGCGCAGCGGGGTTCCAGCAGCGCCAGCGGCTGGCCCTAGTTGCCTGGCACCCACACCTGTCGTTTGCAGGGAGGGGATGCCCTGCAGCTTTTGTGTCTATTTCTTGTCCCTGAGTTGGGGGTGGGGGCTTGGGATGGGGAAGGGTGGGCAGGGTTGTTCCTCCCCCCCCCCTTATTTTGGGTGCTGGCGAGCCCCACTGCTGATGACGAGCCGCCTCTAACTGGTCTTGACCACGAGGTGGTTCTGAGTTGCAGGGGGGCTTGCAGCGGCGCCTAAAACGAGAGGGGGAAAGGATTCTGGGTTTCCGTGAGGAAACCACCATCAAGGGGTGGAAGCGTGGGTTGGGGTACTGTTTCGGGGACCAGAGGAAGCGGGCTTGAGAGGCGCTGGCGAGGTTCGCAGCGCCCCAGGGAGAAGGAAGAGGCTGGGGCTCCTGGGAAACGGAAACGGGGTGTGGGTGGAGGAGTCCGGGAGAAGGAGAGATCAGGGGAGAGCCTGGAGACCCCGAGCGAGCTGCCGACTGTGGGGCCAGGAGGTGGGAGGCCCCTGATTCCAAGGCCATTTTTGAGTGTTTTGCTGGAAATACTCCCTGTATATAAACTTCTTTTACGCTACAATAATAAAAGCTTGAAGTAAACTGCTTTCGGGTTGCCTTTGGTCCCTTTATTTTTTTTTCTTTCCTCTGAATAGCGGCAGGAATTAAACACAAATCTCTGCCTCGCGTCCCCATAGTGACCCTGGGGGGAAGGGTGGCTGCGAGGAGCCGACGCTGGCAGGGGCGCAGGAGGGCAAAGCACACGTAAAGGGGTGCGTGACGGTGCCCAAGGGGGTACACATGCACGCACACACCCACGGTGGGGAATGTGGGATTGGGAGGAAAAACCGAGAAGCGGAGCCGGGCGGGGTCCTGGAAGGAGGCGGGAGAGGCAAGGGGGTCCTTACTTGTCGCCGCGCGCGCTTGCGCTCACGCACAATTACAGCTGCCCCTGCAGCCGCCCGTCTAACTTCCCCGAGCGTCCGATGGTGCGGGGGAGGGGGCGGGGTGGAGGTGAAGGGGGGCTGTGGACCAGGTAGGACTCTGCTCCCGACCACCGCGGGTGCCTCAGCGCACCTGGCTCCTCCCTAGCCCCCTTCCCGCACCTGGCTCCTCCCTGGCCCCCTTCCCGCACCTGGCTCCTCCCTAGCCCCCTTCCGCACCCGGCTCCTCCCCAGCCCTCTTCCCGCAGCCCGCTCCTCCCCACCCCCCTTCCCGCACCTGCAGAGTCGTCTCCCCCTACCCTCCAATCCCCGCCTGGCTGCTGGGGTCCGCGGGAGGTGCGACTAGCACAGCATACGAAGGCGGAGGGAGGGGACACGGGGAGGGGAGGGCGGGCTTGCAGCGCCACCGCTCCGGGAGAAACACCTCCTGCGGGGCGGGGGTGGGGTGCGGTGCGACCCCTGCCCGGGACACCGCCCCCCCCCCGCGCCCCTGCTCCGCTTCCCCAAGTTGGAGCCAGACCTCGCCACCACCATCCGCGACGCGCTCGGGGCTCGGGAAGTGGAGAAGGGGAGCGAGATGGAGTCGCGGAGAGACACCGGAAAGAGGGGGATGGCTGTTGCGGGGACGGGGGCTGGTGGGAAGGGGGGCCTCGGCGTTTGGCACCGCTCGGCGCCCGCAGCCCCAGCCCGGCGCTCCCGCGCGACCTCGGCCCTCGCTGTGTCCCCTGCTGCTCCCTGGGGGAGGGAGGCGCTGGGAGCACGGATTAGCGCGGCCCCCACCTCGCTCTGCTAGCGACACCTGGAGCGGAACAGTGGGGTGGGGGGAGCGCTGGGGCGGGAGTCTGCAGATCCGGAGTGGGGGGAGCGGGGCAGCCGAACTTCCCCGGCCCCGGGAACCCAGCACCGTCCGGGTCTCGGGATGCAAGGAGAGAGGGTTAGCTAGTGAGCGCCCGAGTGTGAGCGGCGCGCGCGAAGGAGAGGGGAGGGGAGGAGGGGGTCTGCAGAGGTGAGGGGGTGCAGCAGGCGGGCGGAAGAGAGGCCCCTGCTCCACCGACACCGCCTCCAAGCCCGCGCCCAGCCCCCACGCTGCTCCTTTGCGAAAAGTTTTTGGAGCTGACACCCTGAGCTGGGATTTTTTTTTCTTTCTTTTTTTTTTTTTTTTGCTTCAAAAGTCTTTAAATTGAAAAAATAACTTTTAAGAAAAAATTGGCACAGATGGTATTTCTGCATCTCCTCCCCTCCCCCTCCTCCCGCGCGCTGCTTCTCACCCCAAAACCCCCCGGGAAGAATCCGGAGCCAGCCGCACGGACGCGGCTGGGAGCCGAGGAGGGCCTGCCCCGGGCTGCAGCAGGCGCTGGCCTCGGTGGGGATGCGGTGGCCCGGAGGCAGCGGAGGGCGGCCCGGACCGCACAGCCCGCTGCCCCCGCCCCTCGCGCCGGCCCGCCGCCTGGGGTCTAGCCGGACCTCCTGGGCGACCTCCCTCCCCGCGGAGCACCCCCCCCCCCAGGCCTCCTCCCGCTTCCCGGGCCGCAACTCGGACCTGCCGCTCCCGCCCCTGCCCACGCGGCCGCCTCGCTGCGGCTCCCGGGAGGGGGTTCGGGCACCCCCCTCCACTTCACTTTTCCCTTCTCCCTCCCACTCTCCCTTCTTCCCCTTCATCTTTGCTTTTTCTCTCCTCCTTTCCCCTCGTTCCTTCCTTTCTTATCTTCTTCTCTTCCCTCTCCTCCTTTAAAAATCTCTCCTTCTTATAAAAATAGTGCGTGCTCATCGAGGAAAACTCAGAGGAGTCCGGAGAAAATAAAAGCAACCCAAGGTAACCTCAGGGTGCAAGCGCTTTTCAAACGTGCCTCTCCCTGTCCCCCCACATTTGTAAATACATACTTTAATAACAAGAGCGGGATGCTCCTTTTGTAGCCTGACATTAATTTTTGACTCCTGGTTACCCTCCTTCCAGGTCAATAAAGAAGTCTGGAATGGCACCGCTGCCACACCGTCAAATGGACAGCGAGGGATGGCTCCAGGGCGCTTCAGGTGTGAGGCTCGCTGCCCAGAAACGCAGTGAGCAACGTGTGCACACCGCCCCGCACCACTTTACCGCAGCAGCGTGCCTTACAGGGAAATGGCTGGGTCAAAACACATGCACATCTTTAGAGATGTCTGCTTTGCCATATTTTGCTAAACTGCCTTCCAGAAAGTCTACTTGATTTCAATGTTTTGTGTCTTCCCAGTGCTGTCTCTTCTTCATTTTTAAGTGAAAAATACGAAGATAATACATAAATCCATTCTCGGTATTGAATTTTAAATACAGAGGAAGGGAGAGCAGAAAAAAAATACAGACCTCACTTAGAGCAGGCTTTTTCAAACTGCCCTGCGGGACCCAGCGGCGGGTCATGAAATCAACTTACCAGATTAAGTCAAGCATTTTCTGAGAAAGGAGAGAAAATAAATGCAATGTAACTACCAGCATACATTTCACCTAGGGTAATCTAGTTTCTGAAACTTCTGTTTCAGGGGTGTGTGTGTGTGTGTGTAAATGTGTGTGTGTGTGTGTGTGTGTGTGTTTACAAGCTGGCTCATGTGAAATGTATTTCTCCTGAAGGAGGAATCAAAAATGATTGGAAAGGTTTGCAAGCCGCCACGACAAAGTTCCCATTTATCAGGGATACCCTCCTGAACTGTGGGGTGTGTTTCTTCCAGACTCTACTTCGCCTACTGACAATGGTATGTGAGTACATTCCCAGATATAGGTTCCATAATCAGGATCACGATGCACAGTACTTGATGACGGCCCCCACCACCCACACACACCTTTCTCCTGCCAGTCCCTACCCGACACCCTTTACCCATCCATACATCTAGTCCAAGCAGCTCGGTGCTTGCGGGCCAGCTTGTGCCAGATGCGTGGGATGCCTGGGCCCCCACCCACACCTCGGGAGGAACTCTGCCCTCCAGGAGGGCTGGATCAGTGGGGAGGAGGGGGGGAGACAGCCATTATTCTTATGGATTTTTTTTTAAGATGTATTTATTTATTTGAGAGTGAGAGAGAGCCTGGGGGGAGGGGCAGAGGGAGAGGGAGACGGAACGTTAGGCAGACTCTGTGCTGGGCACGGAGTCCTTCCAGGGCCTCGATTTCATGACCTGAGCCGAAACGAAGTCAGACACGTCACCGACTGCACCACCCAGGCACCCAGTGTTCCTACTGTTACCATCACCATCATCCTCGGTGTTAGTGTTCCTGAGGTCCGCTGTGGGCTTGGTAACACGGTGTGGGGAGAGGGAGGAGGGCATTCAGAGAGCTCATACAGAGGGTCTCGCCTGCCCCTCGAAGGCACAAGTGCCTCGTCTCGGAAGACACAGAGAGAAGGGCGTCCCTGGTGCAAAAGGCCAAAAGGACAAGTTGTGTTGGGAAATCAAACAGCCCCCAGTGTGGCTCAGGGCAGAGGTGCAGGGGAGGCAGAGGGGTGATGAGGAGTGTCGGGGCCACCTGGGGAGCCTGGGGATGACAGCTTGGGGTCTCTGGTGAGCCTCAGGAATGGGGGCCTCAAACAGGAGAGCAGGAAAGTCAGAGGGGAGGGGAAGGAGCAGCAGATACCTGGGGATGGGGGTGGGTGGGCACACCGTCCTGTCGCCACTGACTGACACGATCTGTGCACTTGCAGGACAGGCTGCCCTCTGCCTTTGACCCAGCAACTGTCCCCTGGGCACCTACCCCAAGGAGACAGACTACTGGGCACAGAGGGAGGGAGGTATCCTCTGGGTACCACCTTAAGCCATGCAGACACCCCTCTGCGGAGAAGTCATGTCCCAAATCATGGCACTACCCACGGGTGGAACAGTAAGAAGTGAAGTCTGAGGGTTTGCTCTAGGGGCTGGGCACCAGGCAAAGGGCTGCACCAGGGTTATTCATTTTGGTCATCCTAAGATCCCTCTTAGACAAATACAATTATTAGCCCCACTTCACTGATGAACAGACTGAGGCTTGGCATGGTCGGAGACAGCTGGGCCAAGGTGTTACGGGCTGAATTGTGTCCTCCTCCAAAGTTCACACACTGAAGTCCCTAGTGCCTCAGAATGTGACCTTATTTGGAGATAGGATCTTACAAGAGCTTAGGTTAGGATGAGGTCATTGGGCGGGCCTTGATCCAGTACATTGGTGTCCTTAAAAGAAGAGATTGGGACCCAGGCACACAGGGGGATGGCCATGTGAGGACACAAAGAGAAGGCAGCCGTCTGCATGCCAGAGAGAGCCCCCCACTGACCCCTGGATCTCCAATTTGCAGCCTCCAGACCTGTGAGGAAATATTCTGTTGTTTCAGCGCCCTCAGCCCCCGGCCCCCACGCGGGGTACTTTGTTATAGCAAACCGATACACGGGCCATGCGTGGACGACAAAGTGACTCTGACCACAGGCCCCTGTGACCCCAGTGCCGGGGGGTTAACACCAGGCTGCATCACATCATTCAAGTGGCCAAAATGCGTCAGGACACTTGAGATGTCCCCAACCCAGACCAGGTCCTCCCTCTGTAGTTACATGAAAATGCAGCTTATAGGACAGTGGGTCTGAATTGGGCAGTGACTGTGCGTGCTCTTTTTTTAATATCTGCAAAGACACACACACAGGCAGCTCTAGAAAAATCTACCCCGAGGAATTCACAGTAGCTGTCT